TTCAAGCTTTCGAAACCAACAAATAAAATTTTATTGATTTTTTTAGAATAAAACTAAAACAAAATGGAAAATGAAAATGTCCAAACAGTTCAAAACAAATCATAATATTTTAAAAATGTTATCGTGTATAGAAAATGCAAATATAAACAACCAGTGAAAATTTCATGTATACACGTTCATTCGTTTTAGAGTTACACCAAAAACCAAAATCGATTTTTGGAAACAGATTTTGTGTAAAAATTCCCGTTATTCCTTAATTTTTATGTGTTTAATCCCGGCGTTTGTGAAAACTATTGGGAATTTTAAAATTTGACCCCTAAGCACTTTTATTGTCCTAAAACGTGATGACAGACCCCCCCCCCCCCAAAAAAAAACACACTTCATTGTAAAATCAATACATTCATCGTTCCACTCAGAATCTAAAATGAATATCAATTTTGTTTTTATTTCATATAACATAAAAAATATACTAGAATACATACTATCAAATAGTACATATAATCTAAATAACATATTAGGAATACTTCCAAGTATTAATTTGCCAAAATTTGAGTTTAAAAAAGACTTCCTATTTCGGAGAATAGTACTTTAATTCTCCAAACAATAGATAATATTAGCTATTTCTGTAAGTTAAAATCGGGGCTTAAAATGGGAAAAAAATTTCCAGGGGGGGGGACTAATGTTTCCATATAATTTTAAGCGTTTCATATATAATTTTATGTATAATGCATAATGTCTATGTAATGTATAAACAGTGATTGTGTAAGCATATTCATCCCACTTATAACATTGAATGGTTAAAGGAATTATTTGTTGAAGGAAACCCGCTTTTTAAACGCCGAGTTAAGGAGGTTTTTTTATTATTAAAGTTATTATAATAACTATTTCATTCATCACGAATTTAAGAATTACGTATTCATCTGCACTTGAGGTTTTCGACTTTTTTGTTCATTTGTACAACGGTAGATATCGGATTTTGTGTTTTGATATATAAGTAGTTTCAGCTGCTACAATTCACAATTTAATCAGAAAGATTATAAAATTTTGTGAAATATTAATTAATAATGAATTCGAACAGTATGAACGTTTTGGTATAATATTAATATGACAACATACTGCTATTTGATTGAACCTCGTTGCAGATTATCTCTATTACATGAATAGTTTAATCGTTTGTTACTGAAAAAAAAATAAAGTATGTATAGGTACCTAACCTAACCTAAACTAGGTACCTATACTAAATATATTAAATGTCAATGTGGCCACAATATGTGTTCATAACGGAATTTGCCTATGACATAATATATATTCCAATACTAATAAATAATAAATATTGTAGTTGGTAGCGAATAGGTTAAGAGACCCTAAGATGGTCAGTGACTCTTTAGTGTTGACTGGTAATTATTTCCACGTCCTGTCATTGGATACAGGATCGTGGGAATTTCGATTTTGATCTTCGGGTTACTCTGCAGTCTACAGTTACTGTACGGTATGAGATGTATTTTTAAATATCTAAGTAGATATTGAACTACCTATATCCAAAATACTGTGCAAGTAAAATATAATTCTGTTCGGAGTTTTGGAATACCTATATAATATACTATGAGTATTTAGTATGTATATTAATTTCAGTCATAGCATACATTTGCAAAATTTTTTCTACGGTTGACTAAAATGTAGTAAGTTTACCAAAAGTACAATCCAAGTACAATTTTTGTTTTGTGATACAATTAATATTTAATGAAGATTTCAAAAACTGTTTATGACAAAAAATATTTGTTAAACAAAATTCATGATGTTATACTAATTATATATTTTAAATATTTTCATAATAATAATTTAAAATCTGATTTTGTAGAATGATTTACCAGGTTAACTGTGTAATATTTGGATTAAATACCATCATGTTCAGATGGGGACTTTACATTAAGTCTATGTATCATAGAGTATCAACTGTAAGAAATTGATGTAATAATATTATGGTTGCCTTGGGTTGTTTACCTATACTATCTTTACAAAGTATCACGTTACGTTTATATCGATATGATATTTTCTAAAATAAATATTAGATCAAATTCAATTAATTTATAATGTAATGTGACTGTTTGCTAATAACCAGGGCTAGGATTTGTATGCAATAAAAAATTGTAAAATATGCATTTTATTTACCAAAATATGCAAAAATATGCATTTTAATTTTTATAAGATAAACACAAAAATATAGTTACAAAAAAAATATTTATTTATTGAAATACAGGTTGGCTGTAAATAAAAATCACAATAATTTTACACAATACTAATAAACGGTGATGCGCGGACAGCTGAACGGTCTGTACTACACTACTACGTGGGATTGTGTGTAATACACTATAATACCGGACAAATTATATCTTATCTTAGATTTTATATTGACCGACAAACTTTTATTAATTGTGTTTATCTTTTTCCGTCAAACTATTTAATCTTTAATCGCATAGGTACCTATTGTACCATAGGATTGTATTTATAAAAATAAAATTAGTGTTTGACAAAAAAAACCAAGTTTTATACTTTAATCAGCAGAGCTAGAATTACATACGAAATATTAATATTCAATTATATTATTACAAAATATACTATAAAACATGCATTTTTCCCATTTTTATAATCGAAATATGCAATATTATTCATTTTATTCGATATATGCATTAATATGCATTTTATCCAAAATATGCAAAAACATGCAAAATAAAAACACCACCATTTATCTCATCATGACGTGATTCGTGGACATTACTGACAAAATCAATAATTAGAAGTCACAAAAAAAACATGCTGTTGCATACAAATCCTAGCCCTGCTAATAACGTATTTATTATAGGTACATTTTATACTGTTACAATGGGTTGATAAAATAAATAATGAGATTAAGCAATGGCATCTCTACGAATCGCGGTAAAAAATTCCGTCTTAAAAGAGTCCGAAGCATAAAAAGCCCTCGGAATCCTTAAAGTAAAACTAAAAATTATTTATTAAAAATAATAATAATACAATAATTAAAAGTAATTATTACCTACAGGTCTTATTCTATCAAAAACGAATCGAATCAATTATTCATAAAAATAAATATATATATATTTATATGGCTGTATGAGTAAAACTCAATAAACTAGCTAATTTAGATAAAAGCAATGGTTCAACTTTGCTTGCTCCCAAAAGTCGAACTGTGATCAAAGTTCAAAGAAAGTAGTTATATCATTTAAATGTTGTGATTTGTAATACATATTCGATATTGGTAGGTGCCTACAAGATTAGTTGTTAATCGTCAGGTAAATCATTTAATTACAATTATTTTATTAATACTAATTGGAAGGTAAATTTTTCGTCCCGCTGCATTACCTATTACTTTTACCTAATTATATGAATCAAAGTTTTTATGCTTCGGACATTTTTCCCGTTGACTTTTTATGCTTTCGATTTTTACTGTTAAATTTTTATGCTTTAGACTTATTTTCCAAGGACTTTTAGACCTTGGACATTTTGGCATAGTCTACCCATCTCTATAATCACGTTTTATGTTCTGTGATATCCCTTTCTTAAATCCTCAATGTTGCATATAATTTAATTCCAGAAGATTGACTTGTCCATAGATGCTTGATACCTATAAAAGTGTAGGTAATCAATTATTATTACCTATAGGTATATGATTATTTTAATGTTAAAAATAATGGTCTATAATTTGCTCGATTAAAAATATTATATCCGCTACAAAACAATTATAGTTTATATTTTATATACAGGGTGATCAAAAAGTTTGGAAACGGTCATGAGACTAATTAGGACTGATAAACGATAATATTATGATATAATTAATGATGTGAATAAAATATATTTTACCTAATAAATTTGCAGCAGTGTTATCTGTTATTGTTAAGTGTAGGCATACAAATATGCAAACAACACCAATTAAAACATTTCTAAATTGTTTGAACCCCTTGTATACAATTACATTATTTTAAATTAGATACCTAGTATTTTTATCATATTTTTAAAAATTAAATTATTTCTAAAACAATTCAATTTTCTTAGTTCCAAAATTATAATTACCTACAGTTTTTTTCTTTATTAACAATATAAGCATTCTGTACACAGTTGGCACAATAAGAGTATGAGCTAATTGACAAAAGGAAAATTGAAAATTTTGAATGAAGAAGAAACCCCACTGATGACACTTTCGAATTACCTACAGTTGTTGATATTTTCATAGTTTTGGGTTTTTATTATTTTTTAACTAAAATTGGTCATTTTATGTAAGAAAAATATCTTAAATTCTACTATATTTTTATTTAATAGGTATACACCTATATTGAATCTGAATTTTCAAATGGAAATTACTTAACATTTCAAAGTAATATCTTTGGACTTCAAAATATTGGGATATACATTTTAAAATTATATAGTTCGTATAACTGCATAAGTGCACTTTAATGTTAACTTAATATTATTCATATGTCCAACATCTTTCACCGTAATATATGTGGTCAGGTAAAACAGTTAGGTACAACTGTATGTAATACTTCTACCTAACAGCGTGATGCGTAGTTACTAAACTATCAACTGTTACATAACTGCTTAGTTATAAAAAGAATGTAGGAAAATGTTTAAGAAGCCATAAATATAAAAAAAAATACTGCCTCTAAATATTAAATTTCATTTAAGCTATGATTCTCATTATATCAGTTTCAATTTGTTCTGTAGCTCTAATAATACGGATTCCTGTCATTTATTAGACATTTCAGCTGTAAATGTTCAACGTCCATCTTTAGAAATTTGTTTATGACTGATGTCGATAGTTTCGATATTTGTCACTGCTGTTCTCTCTTCTGTTGTCAACATTTTTGTACCGAAGACCTAGTGTGATCACCAACCCTGATCATATTCTTATATATACCTGTTTAACATAATATTATTGTTATTATTTATTATTATTGTTGTGTCAAAGTATATAGTATAGCAAAAAGATGAATTTTGAAATCGCCAATACAACAGTTTTACTATGGGATATGTTCTACTTGGGTAATCCTCATCGACATATGTACAAGGATATCAAACACTTACCACATATATACGCACAGGTAAATTGGATCTATAAGAGTCACGAAACGCAATACGATATAAGTGTTAGAAGATTAAATTGCACCCTAAATCAACTGGAAAGGCATGATGGTATTCGTGGCTACCAACAAAAATACATGTAAATTATGTATTCAAGAATATTTTAATAATGTTTTATAGTACCTATAATATCATTTAATGAAAATCATCATTAATACCCATGATTTATTCAGGCTTGGCCATACTTCTTGACTTTATTGGTGTTAGAAAATGGATTGCGGCTATGGCAAAGAAAAGAAATACTTAGGCTCAATGACAGCATTACCTCGATGAGTCATGCCATCTTGCAAGAGTGTGCCAAGTACGTATAAAAACATGTATAAAAGACAATATTATATTAAGTGATATTGTGTTATGTAATGGTTTTTTTTTATAGATTGTTTTATAGAGGATCAGAACATTGCTTGTACTTTTGGATTTATAACAATTATAAAATGTGTGAACTACCTTGGAATTCTGTAGCTTTCTGGTATTTTTCAGCGATTGCAGTGGATTTCTGTTATTATTGGATGCACAGAGCCAGTCATGGTAAACAGTTTAAATTTCTCTAAAAAAAAAAACATACAGTATTAATTAGTTTATGACTTGTTTTAGAAATTCATATTTTTTGGGCTCAACATCAGGTTCACCACAGTTCTGAGGAATTTAATGTTACTGTCGGGATAAGACAATCGGTATTTCAAAGTTTAGTGGGAATTGTAAGTAAAAAATATTTAAAATAAAATACAAAATAGATTAATTTAATATTTATACCTCGTTAAAATGTTGTTAGGTGTGCTACGCTCCTTTGGCTTTATTCGTTCCACCAGTCTTGTTGTTGGTGCATCAACAGTTGAGTCTCTTATACCAAATTTGGATCCACACCGAAACAATAACAACTATTGGACCTTTGGACTATGTCTTAAACACTCCAGCATATCACAGAGTGCATCACGGTACAGGCATAATATTTTAAGTCTAGTGAAAATTTATTTAGTTGGCAAAAATATATTATAAGAAGGTATAATATTTTTCTAGGAAGCAATCTATACTGTTTAGACAAGAACTATGGAGGCGTTTTAATTATATGGGACAGGATATTCGGAACGTTCCAAGACTTCTATCCGGACAAGCCCATCACGTATGGCTTAGTATACCAGAAAAATGCATTCAATCCCCTATCCTTGCAAGTAATTATTATCCTGTTGACAGAAGGTCAATGTGCTCGTATTAAACATGTATTTTTTTGTTGTACATAATATAGTTTTTCTACAATTTAAATTTATATTATAAATGGAATAGTATGAAGGGTTGGAAGAACAAATTAAGATCAGTCATCAAGGGACCAAGCTGGATTCCAGGTCTGTCGTGGACAGGTCACGACGGAAGGCGTGCCAGTGTAATGAATAATCATATCAAGTCTAGTTCTATTTTTAAACTTTGACCATCTGATTTAGGTCGCAGGACGCAGAAAAAAATACGATGTGAAGATATCTTACGCACTGAAGTCATATTTACTAGTTCATTTCATTGCAGTCGTTAATGGCTACTTCACTTTAACAACAATTCCTCGTTCTGTAAGTGTACTGTAATAATTATTTTTAATACTTTGAATACTGTAGATATATTGTACAGTTGTTCTTAAAATGTTTTTATTAATAGTATTTTGTACAGATATAATTTAACAATAATTTAGGTTAAATAATAAATAACAAATTCAAATATTGATAATTCACTCAACAAACAATTTTATTACAATAATAATTACAATGCTAACCATTTAAAATAAATGTTACATCAACAACACACACAATAGTATATTATGATTGTAATATGGTTTAAGGATATAAATTATAACAACACATCACAATAACAAAATCACATAGTATATAATATCATTGAATTTATATTTTAAAACTTACAATATAATAAGTACTAAATTTTATTTCATAATAACTAAATATTATACTACATAATATATCGATAAAAACCCACGAAGAATAAATTATTAACCTAATGAAAAATCAATTAAATGTGTTCGGTTAACAATTTAACAAAAACAATATGTTATTTTAATTAGGTAACATAATTTTTTACTTTTAAATTTTAAACCCATACATTTAATTTTGGAAAATAAGTTGAACAGTAATTCCTATGGTTTCAGTAATTAATATTACGATGTTAAGATTAATTCCATATCAACCTATTTAACTTTTTAAAAAATCATTAAATTAAAAAAGAAATATATATATAAATAATCAAACACGTTTTTATTCTAATATTTCTTAAGAGTATCTATATTCTACTATGATTTTGAAACTATTTAAGTAAAATAATATAATATAGCAGTGTTCAAAAAACAAACTGAACTTGCATGTAATATTATACATTATTTTAAATTTCATCTGAGGGTTCTGAGTAATACATTTTTTATTTCGACCAACCCAACCTACAAGATCTCTAGCTTTATTATCATAATATTTCATTTATTTCAATATTATATTATATTATACTATTTATACTATACTTAAACTCAAAATATAATTTCTAATGGGGGATATACCGTGAAACGATAACGAACTTCTATTTAACAATATGTTCAGTTTAACGAAATATTTTTGAGAATCAAACCAAATTAGAACAAAATGTACTAAATTCTATTTAACGAAATTTTCTATAGTACGATTTCTTTTTAATGCCTCTTGAGCCTTCGTACTATGGAAGTTTCACTGTACCTACTAAGGAAAATGGTTCTACTAATTACAATCACATTCGTACACGGGAAATTTGATTACATTAAGTTTTCGTTTTGACTTTTGGTTCCATAACAACAATCGAGTAGAAATTATTGGAATATTTTATTTTATGGTTTATTTAATGATTGTATACATAACATATATCATCAATGAATATCTTTTTTAAAACTAATTCCTTAGTGGAATAGTAGGCATATTCAACATTTTGTGAATATAACGTTTATTAATGGTACATAACACTACAACAATCTGCTTTATAATGTCCAAGTATAAATAAAAACATAGGTAGGTACTCAAATACTTATATTTGAGTATTTTCTTAATTTAAAATCTATTTAAATTCTTAACAACATGTTTCATTTTATTAACTTGTGATTTACTTAACAGTATAATATAATACAATGGTTAATACTTATTATATTACATTAATTGCTGAAAGTTTAAACCTTTCAACAATATTGTTAAGACGAATGTATCCTAACTAATTCTAAGGAGGAATGAATTTTATTTATATTTTTACCGTAAGCGAAACTTATAATGTACGGTACCTATGTTTAATTTTTGAAGAAAAATATGGTTTTATTTCATCGAATTATTATTATCACATAACTTAAAATAACAAAAATATATGTCTCATGTAAATATGTAATGACATTAAACATATAATAACTTATTTTAAGAAATATGAAGGACGTAGCTGTACATTTAGTTAGGTATCATATTTTTGAAACATTGAGCAGAAAATATATAGCTTTATAAATATTAAACAATTAAGGTACCTATATAATATATCAAACAACAGGTGTATCAAACAACAATTATAACAAAAATAATAATTTTTTTTGTTCATAGTATCCTCCGTATGTATGTCATGAGTAATTATACGTTTATCTTAATTAAAATCATATATTCAATATCCAATAAGAGAAATTTTCAATATTAAATAATATTTTACTAACATTTTATAACGTACTTTATATTTTTATAAGCTTGGGACCACAGGATTGGGTTTGAGAAGACTAAAACTAATAACATTCGTCTGAAGTGACAACAATTCTATTGTTTTGTATTGTTTATTTGTTAATTCTGAACACAATAATATAATGTAAACCATTGAAACCGTTTGAGATAATTAATTGTATTATTTGTACGTGAATTGAAACTATATATTATGTAGCAGTTGTTAAAATATTTTATGTTTAACTTAGTTTTTCAAATATATAAAAATGTAATTATATATAAAATACCAAAAAAAATTACTTAGAAAAAAAAATTGGAATTATCATCATAAAAAAATGTTATGCATTATTTTTGTATAATACAAAAACCAAAACTTGAGTCAATAATTCGGTGTCATCAGACTATTTTTGAAATATTTATTTGAATTAAAAAAAAAAGTCTGTAAAAAATATAATTTAATTACATTCGGAAATTACTATAATAATAATTATAGGTCAGAAATGTCGGAAAAAGTGTATAATGCTGGCATGACAATAATAATATAATATATGTTTATTAAATAACCACCGTTAGCAAGAGGTTTAAAATTTTTAAATCCTTAGTACCTACTACCTATACCTATACAAGTTAAATAAATATAAATTTATAAATAATATCTATGTACTCGTATAAGTATATATTACATAATATATATATATGTATAAGCGAACATGCTCTTATTATTCACATTTTAGTTCTTCAATTATTATTAGAGTAATATATGGTTACCTTCCTACCTGCAAGTATTAAAATGGACACATCAATAAGATTAATATTAAAAAAAAGAATAATAATAACAATAATAGATTAAAACGGTATAGTACGTCTTGCGTCTATATACATTTAGAAATGTGTTATGGTTGGTTCGTCAATGTGTATTATTATGAAATCCCATAGTCATTGGCAGGGCTGTGAATTTAATGCACTCAATAATATAGATCAGTACGCATTTTAATTATGCCCTAAGAATTTCAATATAATATTACGGCGGGTGGTTTCTTTCATCCAGCTGTTCATACATAATTTCACTCGGCGTCTCAGATTTGACACTTTACTTTTACAGTTTTACTCATTACTTTGTACCTGCCGGGTAGTATAGACTGTGTGTTTAAATAAAATAATAATACCTAATAACAATTAACAATTATTATAATGCTTGAACAGTATAGTATGGAAAAGTACATAGTAGGTATACGATAAACAAATTATGTATTGTGAATAAAAATTTTGAAACATTTACATAATATTATACAATAATAATGTATTTATAGAGTGGTATAATGTCTTGGACCTGATTTGTATCTCACTATCGATATGAAAAATCATCAAACACGCAGCCCTGGTCATCATAGGAGTGTACAATATAGTGTTAATAAATTAATATTATATAAATATATTTTATCCAAATGACATTCGGTAAATGGATAACGATTTAAAGTTTGTTAATATTTGTTCTAGGAAATTAATATTACGTGTCTGGCAATTTCTACGTTTTATGTTGTCTGGTCATTGACGAGCATAGGCTTGATGTTCGAGAAGTCCTCGTGGTCAACATGTTTTGAATGCTCAAGATGCTTAACCATGTTCGTTCATCTAATATATTTGGAACCACAACCATTTTTGAGTGCATTAACTGTCGTCGTATATCAATCGTTAATGGGCACTTCGGTTGTTGTTTGGGCCGTATCATTTTTAATGCGTTAACTTCTCCTAACTTCACCTACAAAAAATGCATTGTACCTATGTTTGTGGCATGTTAAAAAAAATCTTCACTACTAAGTCACTGACTAGACGTCAGTCAAAAATAATGCGCACGTCAATAGAATAATATATATAATTTGGAGAACGTTTTATTATAACTTTAGAGTCATCTGTTTTACGTTTTGAGATTAATAATATACGAACAAAAGGTAAATTTTACTTGTAGAAAATTTATGAATTATTTGACGACGTAAGTAAAAAAAATCAACTTTCATAAATAATCTAGAGTATGACTTATATAGCATTGAATTCAACAAACGTTTTAAGTTAAAAATTAAAAACTTCAAAATACATTTAGGTTACAACTTCAGTTTAACATTTAAATATATATATATAATATATAGGTAATTATAGTTTTTTTGGTTCACCTACAATAAAAACATAATTATCAATTATCATTATACAATTATCATAATAGTTCAAAAACATTCATAATCATTTACAGATTACATCCCCTAGACGTCATAATTCTATGTTAAACATTCAGAGTACAAAAATCCAGAAATCAGTGATTGCCATTTAATATTATTTAGAAATTAACTTTTGGACGATGATTTCTTTCAAGCAACAATATTTACAATCGTATAACAAATTAACGTCTTAACATAATAGTATAAGGGTTACATACAGTAATTAGTATAGGTAACTTAATACAATTTTGTTAAATATATTTATTATTTTATAATGTTCTTAGTTGAAATGTTAGTTTATTTAACTATTGAAGCTGTTACCTATACATGTATTCAGTGTTATTGTCCATTGGTCCAAATTCTTCCCGGTCTAGTGAATTCATTAACTCTTCGTTTTTATTTCGAACTGAAATCACAGTACATGTATTAGTTTAAAATCGGTTATGCGTAATATACTTATATGACTAAGTATTATTATTTTGTCGTTATAGGTATATACTGTTCAAATAATTAAATAAATATATTTTTTTCTTATTCAAACAATTTATCTTGAAATAGCAATAGTATTTCAATACGCTAATTCTAAATTTGAAAATGTATTCTATATTAATATTACGTGACAGTTAGGTATAAAGTCATGCTATTATTAAAAATAATAATATTAAGTCGGGCATTATGTTAATTTTAGAGTGTATAAAAAAAATATCACAACGTAAATTGAAAGATATACGAAATAATGACTCGTATAGTGTTTGCTGTTAAAAAAAAAATCACTCTAATGTATGAGAGGGTGTATCTGCCATCTGGGGGACTTGACAATGGCTGCTCATATTGCAAAACATTTGCAGGTGAGGGAAACTAAAAAAAAACCTTTACCAACATTGTCTCTCTGCAGCTAACGACTCTGATGTTAGTTTTATCATATACCTACTACCTATATACAGTATTTTATTATTTGCAAGGTACCTATACTTGCGCCTCTGCATTTGCCTGCAACAGTGTTTTTGTAACCTTGCCCACTGCAGCAGTCATCATAAATACAATTCCTCAACAATACAGAATATTATATTACACATTGTAATACATAATGTATTATATTTATTATTAGTATATAGTTACTTTAGTATTTGAATCGTTTAATAACATAATGAATAATATCATCAAACTACAATACTACATTGATATTATAATTTATTAAGACGTGTTTTGCATTCAATCATCAATCGAAATACGCCTGTATAATCGTCATTTTTTGGCGTTACACACAAACGCGTTTATTAATTTATTTTGTGTATAGGTACTTGCGTCGCATCTCACTCGTCTGTCTTCTTTAAATCAATACACCTGCACAATGGTCTTATCTGAGCACTGCAGAAGCAGTTGTAGCAGATACCGGTGGCACCGCACAAGTATTGTAGTGTATTGTTATGATTATCATGATACTTAATTACGGGTGTGTGGTTATTAAACTTCGGTACTGGAGGAAGACAGACGAAAAACATCACTTTTCGAGAACTAACTACATTATAATATACTCGTTTTCTTAATTTCTTTATACCTTCATAGGTATTTGAGATACGACATAATATTATTATTATTATATTAAAGCTAAAAAGATGATTCAGATAACATACTTAATAATAATGTTATATATAACAAACGCGTCGTGATGTCACTCACGTCGTACGGTCTGCGACATTGTTATGAGAGTAATATAGAGAGAATACAAAATCACTATACCGTATATACTATATTAATACATTTGTTATTACAAGATGGAAGAGCTCGAAAAAGTTCAAGGAAAACAGCTGTTGCAGAGTTTATTATTATTATAAATAGCTGCCAGGGCGATAAAGTATATAAAGGTTCACGAAATGTGACGGTAAAAGAGAGTAAATATTATATAATATAAGACGTATTATATACGTCTGAGTGTACCTATGCGGTTCATGCGAACCCGACGACTGTGAAATAATTTAACTTATCCGACTCTATGATTTTGTCCCGCAAAAAGTACGCTGACGGACGTTTCGGCAAACACATGTCATCATCGTCACATCGGCCAGTCCATATTAGTATAATATCATAACCGTGCGCACTATAATATATTATATATATATATGTATATACTAATTAACAGTTATAGTTTAAAAGGGATGTCGGTGCACCAGGTTTCGCCGGAGACTGTCAGTCGCGAGTGTATATATGTGTGTGTGTGTGTGTGTGTGTGTGTGTGTGTGTGTGTGTGGGGGGGGGGTCATTTCAATGTTTTACAGTATAGGGAAATATAGGGCATAACAATGACAGGCCCAATAAGTACCTATTTAAACTTTTAAGCACAAATTTTAGTAAAAGCCAATCGCTTCGCTCGCTATAGGTCCCCCAATTACCATTAAATTATATTATATAATTATATACACTATAAACGTGGCTATAGTTGTGATTCTACCTATGCTGAACAGCTGATTTTTAGCGATAAACTGTGCATATCACTCTGGAAACCAATTTCTATACGGTGTTCAGCAAGCTGTATATCTTAAATCGCGATCCTAAGTAATAATATACTATATATTCTCTATCTCGACGTAAGTACTTTGTACAATATTGTACTCGTCTTTTTGGGGATTACTGATCAGTTATTTTCGATTCATAATGATTTGTATGTTTCATCACTGACCGTATTGGCTCTAGAGCAGGTTAATGTTGACTCATTTGATCCGGGAATCCGGCCCAAGACTACCACAAAAATCTAGGGCAGGGAAAATGCATACTCCTGCCCCACCCCTGTGAGTGTTATAATATTAAATGGACCCCAGTCCCCGCCACATCAACCAAGCAGTCCGTAGGTGAGGTATTCGAGAACTAGAAACTATAATATTATGTTAGTTGGTAATATAAAATACTTTATAGTATATCGTTCAGATTGGCTGTTTGCTTGTCCCAGTGCTGTAAATATGGTAAGTGCCTAATAAATAATAATATTGTCGATGTAACCGTCGTATCTCCATCATTTATTACAATAATAATATGGAGATACCACTTTTTCTAGGACTTAAAATCATGCATGGAAGATACGACGATTTCTAATCATCAATTTCATGGTGGATAAAATTATAAAATTGGAATTATAACTTTATCATACGACGATGTGTTATTTTTGCATTCATTTTAATCGAAAATAATTGCACGACCTCTTTGGCATTTTAGACCAATATATATATAAGTCGCCTGAACTCACTAATTGCATATTACCACACACTAACCAACAACTTGTTTAGTTATTGATTCAGTAAACTAAGCAAATTGTATAGTTATTACTTATTATTTCGGATGTAATTTTTTTTTAAAGTTTTATTTTATGAAAAACTACCCACCTAGTTCATCAATTACGGGTGCCATCCTTAACGTTACGCCCACCAACAGCATGCAAGTGATGAGCAACAGTCCGGCGGTGATGATAATTGTCCATCTCGCTCTTTGAGGTAAGTCGTCTGGATGTATAGTGGGTACGGGATGAGGTCTCATTACATTATGTTTATCTTCTCCGAATCTTGTTCTTCGGATTTTTTTTTTTAACCGAGTCTTTGGGTTTTGAGTCTCTATATAATGCCGATTTTCTTCTGACATGCCAGCAGTAGATCTATATATTAATGTATAAATATTTATTTTATTCTGACGTATTAAATTATTCTTTGAAACACATAATAGAGAACATCATTAAAACATTTTTAATTCTAACGGATTGATTACTTTTGGATCCGCCTTTAATCAGTTATTAATAGATTGTCAAATGCAAAATTAAAAAAAAAAAATAATCAACTATATGTTATTAACATTTATAACTGTTGGTAATGTTTTACCATTTTTTTTTTTTCGATAATTTTACGATTCAATAAATATTATTTAGCAATGTATGGCATTTTCATTTATAAATGTTGATTATTTAATACATTTGGAATCTTATAAAAATGTAAATTGCTACAATATTATATGTGTTATATTTTACTAGACAATATTCTCCATATTAGGGCTGATGCTAAGATGAATTTTTTAACGTAATATACAATCAAGTATCCACCTATATTATATAACTTATAATGTTGGCTTTAATTGCAAATGTTAATATAATATAATAAGAAAAAGTAGAAAATAAAGTTATATTAAGTACCTGCTACATACAAAAAGTAAATGCATGCTAAGTGATTATTTTAACACTTGTAAATTTGGATTACAATGTAATACCTATATTTACAACCACCTAGCTTTTAATTTCTATTACCTAAGGTTGAGCCGCCACCGAGTCGTATTAACTCGAGGTGGTAGCGCCGACCGCGGGTCATTATGATGGACGACCAGCACCGACGTTACCGACCCACGTACTGAATTAATGTCCCGAGGGACGGTCTGTCCAACTATGAATGCCGACAGCGTGACCATACCCACCGAAAACAGTCCGTACGAAACCGACCTCGCAAGCATATAAGGTCACTTGACTGTGACAGCGGTGCTGGGTTACACCTTACACGGGTGGGTGACCGCTGGCTCTACCTTACTACCTTTCACAAGTCTCCGTCAAAAATTGGATATAATTCACAGAGTCGAGTTAATCCACCCCTACCCACTCGGGGTGTGAAATAACGGCTCTCTAAGTCAGCTAGTGTCTATCTTGCAGTCTCTACGAGGTCCCGGAGATACATACGTTGAAAACGAGGCTGTACTGGAACGCAAGACGGAGACAACCACCTGATTTCTGGACCGAGTTCAACGATTTTATTTTCATTAACTATAGGTACTGGTATATTCCTCAAATGCAAAATTAACCATCTCCCTATTTTTTTTTTTTTTTTTTTTTGAAGTACCTACACCGGTAATAATATTTGCAGTGTATAAACGATGGGACTTATTACTGGATGGTGAACGTCCCGACGCTGGTAAACGATGGATGCACAATAACGTTCGGCCATGTTAGGAGCTTACACTTTGAAAGTGGGGAGGGTTCATTGCGTTGAAATGGATCTACTGGCAAAGGGCGAATACGTTTAAAATAGAGGATGTAATAATCGTGAAGCAAAAAGAGTGAAAACTGAAATAGCAAGATAATAACAATGGTGAAATCCAAAACAAATATAATTTACCACCGATGAATGAAAAAGACGAAATACACATCGAGGTGATAATACGCGTACTCAATTTCTTATAGGTAATATTGGTAATATTGGGAAATTATTAGGAATGTTGACGTATATAGACAGGCAGTGATTGAAGTATGAAATATTTAATTTTGAAATATTTCACTATATGATGAAATATTTCACAAAAACGTGAAACATTGAAATTTTTTTTAACACAAATAAAACACAATTTATTTATTTTATTAACACAATGTTTAGTGTTCTAAATTCTAATATCATAATTCAGTAGGTATACAATACACATGTATAATATTGTATACCTACTTGTATCATTTAAACATTAAAATATTTAAAAATTTTGAATACCATTTTAAATGTATAATACAAAAGGTTAGGTATACATGCAAGTACCATACAGTTATGAAGGTACTTTATGACAATTATATGTAAATATAAAACTTATTTAAAAATAAAACAAAATGTATTAAAATACTGAAATATTTCATTATTTAAATTTCATGAAATTTTCAAACACTATAGACAGGTATAAATAATAATATTGAAATTTGAAAGTAATGTTTGATAAACCCACAACATATTATGTAAGATAGCCGGTAAAATACAATCGATAAATAGTAATAAGATATACTAATAAAAACAAAAATAAATTAAAGAAGGACAAGTGTGGGCACGTTGGTCTGTGTGACAACTAAGAGTGTGACTGTGATGAGACTTATTCGGGAATACTTTGGGCGCATAAGAGCAATATTAGAGTTTTGTCTTTTGGGTTCTTAGACTTTTTTTTCTTCTTTTTAGATTTTTAAGTGAACTCCAGTAAACTCGGTAGACTCCCACTCTGCTAAAATTTTATTTTTTTATTGATCTTAAGCATCGACAACTATGGATACTACCATTTTGTGGGGGGTTATAGTTGGTTGAGGAACATATTATATACGTGGGCGAGGATTCGTCACCCAACTAGTGAAGTCGGCCGATGCTTGACTTCGTCTGAGGCCAACCACCAAGCCACACCAGGCCCTAAGCTAAAGTGTATAAAGCCTATTATTCGACTATTGAATCGTTAAATGATTCTTTCAATAATATAAAATAATCATTCGTTAACTCAAAAAATGTGTGAGTTTTTAACTATAATTTTATTACATATTTAGGTCATTATAAAATAACATTTTTTATAAAAATAAACTAAACTTCTCACTATTCATTGTTTGTTATAATTTCGTAAGTTTTTACTCATTTAATCGATATCATACATTTTTAATCATATTTCATAAACCGAATATTTTTCTGATCATTTTTTATGAATACAAATCGAATTTCGAACGAAGTGTTATTCAGTAATAACACTTATAAGTGTACTTATAACTTATAAGTATTTAAAGTTTAGATGAGCATAGCAGTAGATATTGTGTACTTATTGTGTAATTCTTCGTTAATTTAAACTTTAAATACTTGAACCTTACTCGTCTGAAATTCAAATTTTCTCCATCAAAATGTATTCTCAGAAAAATATTTTGGTATGGAAATTATAATAACAAAAACATATTATTTTTTTTTCAAAAATATTGTTTCGTTATGACTTCAAATTATGTAGAAAAAAATATAAATCTCACACAAAAAGTTGGTACTTTTGAGATAATGAGTGTTTAGTGTTTACAGACTGTTAAAATAATCACTTTGTATATAACTATTACCCCTACATACTATTATAACTTATTAAACTTTCGTAACTTTTTCTCATTAATTTGGGTGTTTCTTTTGGAAACTAAATTATTTTAATCTTATAAGCAACGGAATTTTTAATTGTATAAAAGTAATATTCGTTTAGTTTATTAAGCAAGTTTGAATCATAATAGCCTGTATCCAAGTTGACCTTACGTCCTATGATTTATCATATTTTTAAATTTTAATATTATACCGGATATGGTGTATGGTGTTGGTGTACACTGTATACTGTTTAGGTAGTAATACCTTCAGATATTGAACATGTTATCATATATTTTATACCTTGAAATATGAATTATAACAATAATAATAAAATCATAGGCGTAATCTGGGGTAAATTCTTGGGATGGGGGGGGGGGGAACTGTGGTAAAACTATAAATTTATAAGGCAAAATGACACTATTGCCCGCAGTTGCCTCCCCCCAGATTACGCATATGAATAATATTATATAATTAACATTATTTAGTTACATGATCACTCTCTTAATTTTTTCATTCTATAAAGTGTAAATCCTAATTAATGGAATTAAAACAAATCATTTTTTATTCATTATTATTATTTTATTTAGTTTCCTATGGTAGTTACCTAGTTTATAAGATCATACCTTTGCAGTGCGGCGGTAAGGATGTGACCCCCTAAATAGGGTACTGCAGGTTTTTGAGTCTGAGGCCATTCTTCAACTTGGACAGGTTCTTCTTGTCGAACGATCCCATCACAATGGTGGTGATGATGATGAAACAATTGATGATCTAGATCATGTCGATGCTGATGATGGTGGTGATGGTTGTGGTGATGGTGTTTTTGACATGAATGCATGCAGCGACCCTTTCGGCGTCTGTTTTTATTTTTTTGAAATTTCAAACAAAAAAAATTTTAACCTATCTAAACTTCATTCATTTTTAGAAGTACTTACAGATTAGTTTATAGTACAAAATATTTAAATGGTAGATACTATACTAGGGCATTGGGGCAGTAAGGAAGACTACTATTCACTGTGGCTTTTGAGTTTAAAAAGTTTAAAATTCTCTGGGTTAATATTTTTTTGAATTTCAATAAAATAACTAAAATATTATATCTTAATTTTTCTTTTGAATAATATGAGGTTAGATTAAAATTTGAATTTAATAAAAAAATAATCAATTTTAAAATTGTCATAATTATGACAAATTTTGTTTAAGTTTTTAAATGCTTAAACAACAGTGACTATACGATGTATCTTCAATATTTTTTGATTCTGTAAGAAGAACTTAATTTGTATTAAATTGCTTAGCTTTTGGCTTAGGTAAAAAATATTTATAAACATTTACAGAAAATCAAAAAAAAAATGAACTGACCTTTTTTGATGTTTATAAATAGAAGGCAAAATATGTAAATATGTAAAAAGTCAAGTACCAGGTATCTATTTAAGATAATTCCTTTTTTAATTACAACAAACAGAACAAACTCTCAAAAACTAATGTTGCGTAAATATTCCGTATTTGGTTTTTTAGTTTTCCCTGATTATATTTTACTTTTGACCCTCCCAAGTACAAACTGGTTCCAATTTTATACCAGAAACCATCTTTAATATTGAACTATTAGTTTATTCTTCTACGAAAAGTGTCCTAAGATGACAGGCACTCAGACACATCCAAAAAAAAAAATCTTATTTAAAAGAGAATCTAAAAGTACCAAAGCTGAGTGATTATAGTTAAGTTGGACAGCTCTTATAGGGTTTCTTTAAAAGTGCGTTCCGAAACAAACAATTGATTCTTAACGGTTTATGTCAGTGGCACTATGCCTCAAATATTAAAAAAAGAAATAACAGTATTAGAATTTGAAGAGCTTTAAATATTATTTTTTTATACACTTATAAATTATAACCTACAAACTCACATATAGATACATGTTATATTATACGGGTATGGATGTTACATATTTAAATTCATATATTAACTAAAAAGCTAATAGTTCCTATATATTTTAGGAGCTTAATGTTTTTTCATTACAAATTTCAACCATATTATTATCGTATTTGATAAACGTAATGATTTTGTAAAAGAGATAAAGTAAACAAAACTTCATATTATTTATTACTTTTTATATGACATTTACTTTTGTACACATATATATTTGTACGAGAATTTGATATACATTTCAAAGAAAAAATATATGGTTTAATACTAAATCATTATTTTGAAAAATACGTGGATGAAATTAAATTTATTTCATAAAACGTTAAAAGTTAAAACATTATTACATTGACCTATATTGCAACATAATTCGTTGTTAGTGAAAATTAAAATTGTAATTTATATATTTTATCTAATAAAAAATGTCTTGCCGACAATTGTATTTGTTTCCAGTAGAAATATATTTCTGTAATCGGCTTTTTTATCACAAGATATCTGGTACGTCAAAATAAATTAAAAAATAAATTATGTGAATTTTTTTGTTCAGCGTAAAATATCCGAAAGGAGATACGCCGTTATATTTTACAGTTCAACTGATAGATAAATAGTTTTAATTAATACATCAGACTCATCAAAGGTTTCAGTATAAGAATAAAAATAAAAATGTATTGATTTTCTTGAGTGGAAAAAAAGTGAAAATTTTTTTCTGACGGATGATTTTTTTAATAGGTGCTAGAAACCTGTGTCCCACACATAGCGCAATACAAATGTGACATTTGTTACTTACATGGAGTGAAAAAAATGAAACAAATAATTTCACAGTTACTTATTAAATAGGTCAAATAAAAAGAAACATTATTAATATTAGTTATAACATTTTTTCCAAACTTTCACAGCCCTAAGGTTGTCTGGGGTTTGTTGTGAACTGTAATTGTCTGTGTTTCAGTAAATCGATATTTATTTAGGTAATGATTATTAAACTGATAATAATTTTATCCGATCGATAACTTAAATCATAAATAATTTCAAATTTTTTGATTATGATATTAATGTATAATAATGTTTCTACAGACAATACGTCAATACGAAATTATAGAAAAAATTTCACGTCTGCAAAAGTTCAACGAAAAATAACGAATTATTATTATTTGCTCCAGTAGGTATATTACTGTATATTTATTTTATTGGACTAAACTGTATCAACTGGAATGGTTCTAAATCTGTAACAATAGACTTTCAAGAAACAAATATTTTTTAAAAATCAATGATAACATCTGTACTTATAATGTCCACTGCTAATAACCCTCATCTCTTGCATTCTCCCCCTGGAGTATATAAACACATACCCTAGTTTGCGTTTGTTTTTTGAGTTTTTCTCTGCCAATCTTTGTACTAATAACTTTGGCTGTATCCTCCATTTGAGTTTGGCCTCACAAATATCCGCTTTGATGGATATGACTTTACGGTTGACTAGTGCCGCCAGGATGTGATGCACCCGGTAGTCTTCGTGGTCTAGCTAATAAAGTACGGAATCGATTAAAAAATAGTCATCTAAAATGATACAATACTATATTGTATATAATACATTTAGAGGAAGCTAAAAAAAAAATAATAGCGTTTCATTGAAAACTTCATTAGAACAATAAATTGTTTCACTATAATATATTATGACACTCACGTCGCACAATTGCTCCGGGTCCGTGGAAACTGCCTTCTCCTGTACCCGAATACTCGTACTCATTACTTAAGGTTTCGATTAATAACAACCGCCGACAGTCACATTGTAACCTGCTATCATATGAAATAACGCAATTAATAACACGTAAGTGGCTTCTTAAAAATAGCATGCAGTGAAATGTTAAAATACTAAAACTGAAAAGACAATAGATAATATTATAATACCATTGATTATAAGTAGTACTATTTATAACCAATGGTAATGCATATAATTATTATAATATATTGCAAGTATTGTAAGTAAGTATATAGTTTATTTTCATTCTTTTTCGCCCTGAACAAATCCTTTAAACTAATGCTAAGAATTACAAGTAGATAATATTTTTTTAACCGAAGAATGAAATGAGTATGTTGAATCAAGATTATATATTTAATATTAATATTATATATTGTTTGTTTATTCTGGATTATATATTGGCACCGGAGTAGGTCCTGACTCCTGATTGATATTGAGTCCCCGAAAAAAAAAGGTCACAGTCAAATACTGCGTAAATTGGGTATTTTTGAAACTCACCCAAATTGCGCCCCGAGACATGTAAAGTGATACATATATTAGTTTGAAAAGTTAGGGAACAAAAAGAAGAAAAATGAAGGAAAAAGATACATAAATTATATATAGTGTATATACAAGAAAAAATGAAAGCATATTGCACTTATTAATATACACAATTTTTATTTTTCATCACAAGTATATTGTTACTATATGGTAACTCGTAGAATATAAAAAAATTTCCGATTTTTTTTTCTAGAAAATTTTAAATAATACATAAGTACTTACAATTCTAAATTGTTCACAATTTAAATAATATTGTTATCTCCTTCCCGCTCCCGAATAGTGAATTCACTAGTAAGTTTTAAGCCATGCCTGTTGCTATTCTATATCTCGTATTATATTTTCCGTTTTTAAGTTATTATTAATTCACATTATAAATTTGGCCAGAGGTGAAGCTTTTTGTGTAAGTGTTAATACAAAAGTTGACGAGAGCTTGTTATCGTACCTACAATTAATTTATACGATAGAAGTCATAACATTTCGCCGTATTCGATTCGAATCACTCAGTTATTTAAAAAATATATTGTAATAAGTTACAGAGTACACATTGTACACGTGCATTACAATTTAATTATTTACAGCAATAAACGGAATAATATTATGATTCATGTAGGTTATAATAATATTTTTATAGTATTAGTTTGATTTGATTTAACTTTAAATGTATTTAAAATTATCTTGATTATAAAAGTATTCGACGATAATTAATATGATTATTTACAATAATTTTTTTGTCGGCATAATATCAATATATTATAGAAGTAATGGCGAAAATATCAATTTAATTTGTAAATAATTTAATTTTGTTGTTATTGTAGTTTAATTGTTAATGGTTCAAGTAATTAAATAAGAGTAATCAATAAAAATATCTCTGTACCTTTCAGTAAGTACCTACCATTTAGCTATTATAATTACAGAATACATTAATTTGTGTATTCGCATCATGAATGAAATAGTGGGTTAATCATTATAATACAATTATTTTAATATGTCACCATTTTAATTTTGATTTTAGATTAATCATAATATATTATACAAGTAATAATGTCTTTCATTGTTTTATCGTCTGATCATGTAATAATTAATATTACTATGTCTCATTTCTGACTTTTACAAAGCCATAATATTATAATATTGTAATATTATTAAAAGTGTTTAAGTGGGTAACAAGTAGTGAACTTACTAAGCAGTTAGCAGACAATAGACCTATGTTATAGTCATAATATCGAGGTGTTAACGCAAAATAATAAATTTGTCATTACAACACCAGAGATATAGTATATTTATTTATTTATAAGTCGAACACCCGCAGCGGGTTTGAATTGGCAGTTTGAACTTTTAAAGGACGTTTAAAATAATAATAATATGTAAAACGTTCATTTACACCGTAGACACACGAAAGTCAACATGCGGTAATCAGACGTTATAAATCAATTATAGGAACCCGCAGTATGTCTAACACTCTGACCCCTCAATATGGATATATGTATATAATATGTCTATAATATATATAAAAAAAAACAAGCATGCAACTGTTGTGTACTCAACTATTGTAAACGTTCTCCGTTTCAGCGATATTTTAACATTGAAAATAAAATATGTCATCGATCTATAATATTATTCCGTATTCGTGTCGAAAAGTCAACAGCAAGAATTACTTATAGGTATACTTTTAATACAAAATACGGCAAATAACAATAATTTGCTCGTAAATGAGAACAGTTTTATGGACACTAACGAGTTGCATTCAGTAACTTTTTTTTTTGCCAGCTTATCATGTTCGAACGATTCGTTCGTAAGTTCATCAGGTTGTCTTTTTACTCTCAACAAACACAATTTTTTATCCAAACAATTATGTAAAAACCATTATGCCTTATCGGAATAATATTTGTAGCCCTAATCTGCAGGTTACGGCCTTTGGCCTTTGGGTTTTGTACTGTATATTATATAGCTCACGACGAATCGCGATATTTTAATCCAAACTACATGCGTGTTCCTATATTTTTTCCAGGAAAAGTATACCTTAATAAATAATATTAATTTTTTTTTTAATTAAGCTAAGGCTTCAACATCTGAGGTCATTAGCCTGGAGTTTTTAGTAGGTTTTATTAGTGTGAGGGAGGGTATGGTTAGTTTAGAACAGGCGTGTATGTGTGACAATGATTTTCCACTAAAAAGCTCAGATCACATCAGTGACTGAAGCCATACACGGATTCACCGCTCCACATTGCACCACACAAATATTATTTAGTTATTGCGAAAAAGTGTCAGATATAATAAACTATTTGAGTCGAGTCTCGAAAAATTAGTTCACTCAATAAGTTGTATTCTTTCCATATTAAAATATTAGGTAGGTATAATAAATTGAACGAATGATGTTCATGTTCGTACAATTGGCATTAATAATTAATAATTTCATCGATTTGTATTTTTTTTTTTTTGTTTAGAACCGATAACAAATCACAAGATTTTAATCCTAACCCAGACTTACACAGACACAACAGAAACTGTACAAAATTCAAATATTTACCAAAGATATTATGCTATTATTGCTCTAGATAATATAATATTCATACATCATGCATAATACATTATGGGTTTTTGAAAAGCCGGACATGCAGGATACACACGGAGTGCAGGGCATTCGTCTTGCTTTGCACGCACTTTGACGTAGGTCGCAGGATATACCTATAGGTAGTAGTTCGTCGTTATTAATTTATTATTATTATACTAAAAATTATTCTAAGCAGAGTTCGGTTTACTTAATGCTAACCTACAATAAATATATATATTTTACAAGACTAAGTACATGACATGACTTGTGTATATATTTTCCAGGAAAAGTATGTCTAATCAAATAATATCTAATCATTGTGAAAAAGTCTCAGATACTATTTGAGTCGAGTTTCGAAAAATTAGTTTATTCAACAGGTTCTTGTTCATTGTTTTTAAAAATATAACAAACTAGCTGATCCCGTGCACTTCGTTGCTAGTTAAATGTACCAACTCTATATGACTCAAACTTTGTTTAATTCGTTATTTAATATTCAGTGTATGGTGTTCAAAATGTATCTTAACTTTTTCTATGCCCGGAATAAAAATTCTGATTTGCAGCAGTATATTAGCTGGTAGGCAATCTACCTGCTGTAGATCTCGGACCCCGTGCTGTTTGTACGTAGGTGTATGATTTAACTTTAAAGTATCAAAGTTATACCAAGTTTGTCGTATTCCACCTACGATGGATTAATATAATCAATTAATACAAAATCCTAACCTAACCTAACCGTACTAATATCAAATGAATAAAAAAAACCAAATTTAACCATTTTTAAATTAGCCTGTCTTCTTCCCAGAGGTCTAATATACACACAAACATTCATTTAGGTATATATATATATATATATTGACAAAAATAATAATACAAATTTGAGCCAAATCGGACCAGCCGTTCTCGATTGATGAGGTATAACGAAATTTTCACGCTCCATTTTTATATATATAGATTTAACGAATAATGTTTATTTGATTGGTGCCTACCTATTAATAATTCATCGATTTATGTTTTTTTCTTACTCTACAATTTTTATTTATTTAGGTACCATTAAAACCGTAAGTTAAACAAAAATGGGACTTCAACCGTCGGATTCGTAATACATTGTTTTGCCACTACTATTGATTTAAAAGTAATGTAGGTATATCGTATACCAGATGCCAATCATCTAATAAGATGATGAATTATTACAATAATATTCGACCGAACCAGAGCGTTGAAAACCGCGTAAAAAAGACAAAAATTTTTTCCAACTGAATTTACTCCATTTTCACGCTGCATTAGATGTTGTCGTTTTAATCAATTCAATACATGTGGCTATTGAACCGCTTCTAGAAACTGAACCGAAGGGTCGTTAATTTCTGTGAAATCTGTAAGTACTAAATATCAACTTGTTTCAATTATATAAATAATAATAATTGAATACAATATTTGTAAAATATCTGAAATATGGAGACTAAGGAAAATAGCAATTGCGTGTTTCGTGCCATTAAAATATATTAACAATATAAACCGACGTAGGTACCAATTATTATAGATCAGCGGTTCTCAACCTTTTTGTATCCAAGTACCACCCCTACACAGTTTGAAAATGTTCATGTACCACTTGACTAAAAGACGTTTTTTTTTTCATTATTAAAAATGAACACGTTACCTACTTAAAACATAATATATAAAATTATGATAATGTAAGCATAAAAAGAATATAATATGCAATAAAGAATATAATATACATAAAAAGAAAATTAAATATTATGTACAATTGTTATTTATACTATTGTTATTATCAAATAAACCAAATAATATTTATTGTGAATGATGGTCCATTCTATTTTTTTTTTATGAAGGTAGATTTTCTTAGTGTACCACCTAAGAATCTTGCACGTACCATTAGTGGTAC